AACGTTGATTGTACATTTACATGAAACTCCGAGTAGTGCTATAGATGTTTGATATTATGCATATTCACTTATATATATATATATATATATATATATATATATATATATATATATGGAAGAATATGATAAATAAATTTCTATGTATGAGAACAATGTTAGGCAAATGAATGACAAAGTGGAAAAATTTCATGTAATGTTCTTCGTCCTCTAGAAGGACTTCAGACTAAAGTAATGTCTTTATTGATGGAGTGTTATATATGTGTAGTGGGGAAAGGGAGGTGTGAAAAGATGACCATTGGTTATAATTATATACTGAAGGGAAATACTGAAAATGTGGGAATGAAATGAAAATTAAATTTTAAAAATTGTCTGCCTTTATAAACTAGCTGATCTCTTTCAGTTTCCCTCTGATTTGGATTTTTTATCATTTTTGTTTTTAAGTCATCAAGATTGTGTACACACACACGCACACACACAGAACTATGCACAAGTAGATCAGTCAGCAGTTGAACATATAGTTATTAACTACATTTTGATCTGAAATTTTCAATGTATGATGTTTGTTGTGATTAATATTCATCAATGTATTAAGTGTGTTGTAAAAGAAAGATTATGCAGAGAAACAAATATTCATTGTGTAAAATCAATATTTTTGTCATCATTGGGCTAAGGATTTATTGATACAGTAACTGTGTACATACCTACAGAGACATATGAAGGCTAGGTGTTTGTAAGAGCTGTTAAAATAATAATAGTGGAACACTGAGAGAATAAATAAACAAATAGTAAAAAAAACAAATGAAATAAACGCTGCGGAAGGAGACATGTTTACCATAATTTCAGGGAAAACGGATAGAAAATTATATAAAGACAGCATAAAATTTAGCATTTGTTTCTACCTGGGTTTATATTTACAAATTATTAAAATATATATTGGACACATTTTCTCTCATATATATTTTAAAGATACACTTTAAAAAACATAAACTTTATATATATATATATATATAAGAGAAAAAAGTGACATAAAATGAAACAAAGCACTTGTGTGCCATGCAAACTTTCTTGATGACAATTTAATGTAGAAGACGCCATTATGATAAAAAGTGATTATAATTGACTTAAAACGATGATGCATTGAAAGTGCAATGATCTGTGCATCCTTAACAATGAATATACAACTGGGCTGTTTCAGTTTCTTCTCTGTCCTTACTTAATTATGACTGAAACTATGTAATATATATATATATATATATATATATATATATATATATATATATAAAAAAAGAGATAAATAAACAATAAAAATAAATTAAGACAAAAATTGCATTGAAATTAAAATCAGTTTATATAACATTGAAGTAAAACTCTACATTCAGGTGTTTAACTTGAGTCAGGTTTTGTCTTTTGATAATGCAGATTTTGTTCTTTGTGAAATAAAATTCTTTTTTGATGACATCAGTTCATCTGCGAAAAATGCTGAAGTAGGTGTTTCCCAAATTGTTTTATATATTTAGGCATTAATATTAGTTCCAAAATATTTCATTAAATAGAACAGATAAGGAATATCTTAAGACATTGGATGAGTTTATACACACACATGAGTATATATATATTTTTTATATATAATCATTGTGTATTTGTGTAGCCATCTCTCTTTTATACAAATTTCATTAAAGATGACTGACAAGGGGACTATGATGGAGCTTTTTTCTTGCATTCATACAAATATTTTCTTTTCTTGACATATTTTCTTTTCTTGACATTCATACAAATATTTTCTTTTCTTGACAAACTGTCAAAATATTCTATGGATCTGAGCACTTTTGGCTCATCTATTTTTTTTAACTGAATGTGCAGATTTGTATGTGTGTGTGTGTATATATATATATATATATATATATATATATATATATATTACAAATATATACATATATATATACATACACATATATATATGGGAAAGTATTTTTAATTTCTTGATTTCCAAACATGGCCATTGTGATGTGGCTGTGTTTATATTAATATTACTGAAAGCATTAGATCCCATTTAAACACACAGAGATCTACCAACATCTGTCCACAACATATTTGTGGGAAATATGAATGTAATAACATCATCCATAGGCAAAAATTGGTTAAAAATAATGAACGCATTAATAATAGAAAAAGAAGTTTACTCTCAATAATATCAAATATGAATGTGTCTACAATGTGTTGACAATGTTCTGAAAATAAGTAATTAAAAAAAAAAAAAAAAAGCATTCCCATCCATATATATATATATAAAAATCTACATATTCAGTTAAAAAAAAAAAATCATTCATAATGGATAACAGATTAACTGAAAATGCTTAGACAGTTATTACATACTTTATGTTCAGAAAAGAAAATACTTGTATGAGTGCAAGAAAAATTGCAGAAAAAGCTTAATTGCAGATCTTTGTCAGTTGTCTTCAATGAAACTTGTATTTTAAATATAGAATATATTTACATCATAAATGATATGTGTTGTTGTGTCTATAGGAAGAGAATATTATCTTTATCTTTCTAATATTTAAAAATCAGAAACAAGAGTCACTTTTAGTAAAGTTTGAAGCTTTTCACAAAAGAATTGTAAATTTTTTTCACTATTTAAAATTCTAAGGAAGTGAAATGCAAAAAAAAATTGTTTCTTAATAAATTAAGTAAAAACCAATGAACTGCAAATGAGTTAATGACTTTTTATCTTGTTAGTTTTTTCTGAAAGAAAATGTTTGACTATTTTGGTAGCACAGACAGGAAGAAATGAAAGCAGAATATTTGCCATAAGAAAAAAAAAAAGAAAATTTTCATTTCTCTCTGCTTCTAGAAAAAAAAAATCATTTTTGTATGACTATAATCAAGGGAGTAAAATACATTTTTTTTCTGTGAAAATTAACAATAATCTTGCAGCTGAACAAACAAAATAAAATTCTTTTACTACATGTCAGAGAGAAAAATACAATTTTATGAAGAATCACAAACAGAATCAATACAAGTTTTTTCAGAATAAATTAAAATTACAGCACAATTAATATATTTTGAATATTCAGAAAAAAAAAATGGAATAATTATGGGATATATATCTTAATATATAGCATACAGAATGGCTTGCGTAGGCTTTATATCTTTATGTACGCATTTATAATGAGAAAATTTAGGATAGGGTTTTTATATATATATATATATATATATATATATATATATATACATACACACACAAGTATATAATTGGTATATATGGAATGAATTCCAGTAACCAACAATTACTATTCTTAAAAGAGTGCTCAATACAAAGTAGTGCAGATATAAAAAGCAGTTATTTAATGATACTTTAAGTCTTAAATATTTATTGGTTGCGGTATCTGATTGTCTAGGTCATTGTCTGTGGATGTGTGTATGTGTATCTATCGGTGTCTATGTGTATGTAGAGTGTATTCACATTTAATTATGTGTGTGTTTAGGTGTTGGTTTCCCCGTTTCCTTTTTTTCATAAAGGGTTGTAGTGATGTTCCTGTCTCGTCGCCTTTTCTTTTCTTGTGTGTGTGTATATATATATATATATCTAAATATGTCTGGGTGCTTATGTATTATAATCAGATTGTGTTTTTGTTGTTTTGCACGTGAGTTTAAGACCACATTCACACACTTTAGAATAAAAAATATATATACATGTATTGTCAAATGACCGGATATATTGTAGCGTCTTGTCGAACGTAATTTCAACGAAGAAATAAATTGAATAAACATATATATTTTTTCTTTTCTCAATAATTTTGTAGTTTTTAAACTTAATAGTGATTAAATTTGGATTTTAAAATTGCCAGTTTTTAATTTTAATATTAAATTTTATCATATAACTTTTTAATTATTGGTTAGTATGAATTATTTTTATATTACACGTATTTTAAAGATCTGAATAGCTATTATAACATGATTTCGTTGTCAAGCTTTTGAATCTTTCAATACTTGTTTTTGATTGGTTATTCTAGCTTTTGTAACAATGTTTCCCCCTAGTGTAGGATCGTTAATTAATCTGAAACTTTTAAAACCATTTATTTTCTTTTCAACATCATCACTTGATAAGACACAGAGTGTGTTGAAACAAAATGGCTATTTTTATAGTGATTTTATAACATACTTATGTTATAATTTTTTTATAAATAATAATTTTATATATATATATATATATATATATATATATATATATATATATATATATACACAAAATCAATTTTACAAAATCTGATCAAACATTAGATCCTTTCATGGATGAGCTAAGAATGTTTCAGCACCACAAATAAATATATATATATATATATATATATATATATATATATATCTCGATTGCACACAAAGTGCTGGTGTTATAGAAACAATGGTCAATGTTATATAACAGAGTTATAAAGGATATATATTAATGACTATATATATATCCACACTGTTAGCACTACCCTGAGTTTCAAGCCAAACAGCAAGCTTGTATTTGGCATGAACCTCTGAGTAGTGGTAACAGTGTGGGATATATATATATATATATATATATATATATATATATGTGTGTGTGTGTATAGTATTTCCTCATCCTCACTATATGTTCAACACATTTTAATATTGTCATAACAAAATTATATATAAATATATAATTATTTTTAAATATTACATCTACAGTGTGTGTGTGTTCTCATACAAGCAGAAAAGTGGGGACAAAGTCATCATTTGAATACTCACTCCTTATGCACATACACAGACATACATACATACATACATACATACATACATACATGTATTAAATTATGTGTGTCCACACACACCTTTCTATATGTAAGTATACAATACATATAGCTGTGCACAACACAACAGTTATTATTGGGAAGAGTGTTATCGGGCTGATCACTACTACAACACAAATACGGCATCTTGAAGTAGTGTGTGTGTGTGTGTGTGTATAAAGAGAGAAAGAAGGCTTGTTGTCTTACTGGATGTTGGCTATCTTCTTCTTCAATCAGATCACGGAGCTGCATTTTCCTGCTGAGCAAATAGGAATTTTGGTCCCAGGGATGCTGAATTCTTGGGGTATTGGCAGGATGCCAGACCATGCCTGTTCATAGAAGAGGAGACACAGATAGAAACAGAAAATTAACAAAAATATACACAAATGAGCAAACTTTTCTTTCTCTTTATCTCTCTCTCATCCTGATTTGTTTAAGAAATGATTATAATATTTAAAAATTCCAAGGCAAACATTCAATAAGTTGCAGTTTTAAAAATTCTGAAACAGGTTTTTCTGTCTATTTATAAACATGTGTGTTTATGTTTTCTGTTGAGGGACAGATCTCCTTCTCCTCCATCATCATCATACACACACACACACATATATATATATATATATATATGCCTTGGATTTGGCAGGATAAAAAACTCTGAAAAGTTGAAGTGGGCATCCTCATTTTTATTTTTTTTTTTTAGTTTCTTTTGTCATGGAAATCTTTTGTGAAATATAGAATAAGAAGAGGTGGGGATAAAATGAAGGGAAACATGGTATTGAACTGGCATCAATGTCTTTAGAAATACAAAAGAAACAAAACAATGAAGATATGTGACATGTTCATTGTGGCAATGAAAAGACTGCAATAAAATGCATTGCAATCTTGAGTTGACAAATATTGAACAATTAAGAAAGGCTTGAAAAGTTCCCATTTATTTTGTCTCAGTTGAATTTATCAAAGGTCATTTGAGCTCAGCTTTATCAGTTTATTTTTACAAGAATATCTACAAAATAATAAAAAATATAAAACATATATACATACACACACACAAACAAAAGTAGTGAAGACATAGCTAAATATACTGAATGGCAATGGTCTGTTTCACGCTTAAACAAAATTGTCAGGCCATTTTATATATATATATATATATATATATATATATATATATATATATATATACGTTATGGTCTGACAATTTTGTTTAAGCATGAAACAGACTGTCGCCAATCAATATTGATGTTTATGTTCATGTGCTTGTATTTAATGATATTGACCATTCTTTGCCATACATATAGCCTACCTTATATGTATATGTACATACATAACACGTGAGGAATGTTTGGCAAGTAATGACTATTTTATTATGCCAGCCTAAAATTTCATACATGGATGTTGGTGGTATAGCAATACACGTTGAATCTTCCTCTAAATAACCCATATCTATTTTGCTTTTGCCTTGTTACACATTGCAGGTAAATAGCAGTCTTGTAAAATAGCATCTGACATAAAAGTGCACACAAAGCAGTGGAGTGCCATTTAATTCTTCCATGCAGAAAAAACCCTACAGCCATTGGCATTCATCGATATTTGCAGAACACTTACAGAGACGGCAAAACAGTAGATGGATGAGAGCATAGTCAGTTGGTAGGTAAACGAGTTTTTAGCAGCAACCATGCAAGAAGCCATTTTTACAAATGTTCTGTGCAGACTTGTTTTATCACTGGTAAAAATGGTAGTGACTTTACTCCCTAATTGCACTCCCTGTATCTTGTAGTCTCAGTGGAAACAATCATGAGGCATTACCTTTAGATCAGCTAGTGTGTTTATGTAGGCATATATATATATATATATTTATCTCAGATAAATGATAAATTAGTAATTAGAGATGATAAATAGATGTTTCTAAATTTGCTTAAAATTTTAATATACTTCAATGAGGTGTGGAAAATATTTCATGCAAGTGACTTTAACAAATGGAATACAAATTAGATCCGCTTAAATTAAGAACAGCCTACAAAGTGCACCCCTGTGGTGTTTATAATGTTTCAAGATTTCATCTTCTTCAGATCCTATTTAATATGGTCTATTCAGATTTATAAAACTTGTTTCTAAGCAAGCTATAATTACTTCAAACATATTTAGACTAATGACTTATACCTTGTGTGTGTGTGGGAGGGGGAAGGTTTATATATTTCACTGTAGCTGCATTGTATATAATAAATATATCAAATGAATTGTAGAGTCAATGTACATTTAAAGGTAAAAAATTAAAAAAGGTTTGTTTGATATTTGATTATGAACAAAAGCGAAAGAGGAATGTTCCAATGTATTATTATTTGTTACATTTTCAAGATGAATGGCCAAAAATGTGAAAAGAATCAAATATTAAAATTGAATAAAAGCAAGAGAAAACAAAATGAATTATTTCATAGATGAAAGAAAGAAAAATATTTGTAATTAAAGATAGATGAAACAGAGAACCTCTATAGAGTCAGATATCTAAATCAACTATATATATATATATATATATATATATATATATATATATATAATAAATATATATATATAGACCAATATCTAAAACATATGGATGACATATATATATATATATATATATATATATATATAAAACCAATATCTAAAACATAAAAACATATGGATGACTATATATATATATATATATATATATATATATATATATAATATAAACCAATATCTAAAATATATATATATATATATATACGACAAATATCTAAATCATCTTATATATAAAGTACAGTTTGTGTGTGTGTATCCAAGCAACTCTACCATTCCCACTGGTCTGATTACAATAATTCATAGCTAATTCAAAAGCCCTAGAAAAGTTAGGCACAGGGAACAATTTTCGTTGAGCTCAGATTCAAGGTTGCCAGATTATGTGAAGTTAAAAATATATATTAATATATTATACTAACCATTATCATTGCTTTCAAGATTCTAGGGGAGTAACTCTTATTTTCCTTTTCTATCGAAAATTGCAGTTAGCTGAAAATTTTAAGCAGGCTAAAATTTTAAGTTAGCTGAAATGCTGCCTGATAGGAGGACTCTTGGTTTGGCCATCATGATGTGAAGGACTTTTGGTTTTGCCATCATCACAATAGCTAGGGACGAGTAGATGTGATAGTCAACAATAAACTACAGAAAAAGGCAAAATTGATCGCTGCATTTAAATATTGTATTAATGTTTAAGCTTACCTTTTAAAAGTTCAACGATAATTCTTCTGCTGCCACTTAATTTAAAGATGATTTGATGTACGTAGATCTTTATTTTCCATACAAACAATTATTTTTATTTCATGGGTGACAGAACAGGGGACAATTTATAAGATAAAATATAATATTAGTTACACATTCAATATTTGACGAGTTAGAGAAACATAATAGCTAATTAAGTATAGCCTATATTATAGAATCTATATGAATCAATGCAAAAGTGGAACTCAATTCTCCCATGAATTCTGAGATTAAAAAAACCCACAAAAAACAAAAAACCGCATACACCTTGGTTAATAACAAAAATTCCACGAGCCCCTGCAACTGTCGGTTGCATTGTCCTTGGTGCAAGCATTGATCCGTCTCTCTGGTGCAATGAGAGGGTGTGGCCTTGAGCAGCTGTTCCTCAGAGCTGGGCACCTCTCAGTATAATTTGTGTTAGTTGTGACTCTGTCCTTAGACAGAGTTGCCCCTGAGCGTACTCTGCCCAAAGATAGAGATGAAACTGAGAGATGATAAATAAATGTGTAACAAAGTGCTTGATAGTAATTTATATAGCTGGAAGACAGAGTAAATACCTACTAAGATGAGTTGTGACACAAGGTCTTTTTTAAGGTGGGGACCCAAGCACAAACACCTGGGCAAGGAACAAAAATTACCCACAGCCCCTGCAACCATGGGTTGCGCTGGCCTCGGTGTGAGTACCAATCCCTCCCTCTGGTGCAATGGGAGGTCGCAGCCTCAGGCAGCTGTTTCCCAGCGCTGGTCACCTCTCAGTATAATTTTCCTCAATTGATGCTCTGTCTCTTGAGAGAGACACAACTGAGAGATGATAAATAAATGTTACAAACTACTTGATAGTACACACACTAAAAGCTCAATCTCTGTATTATATGTTATCTACTTCTAGGCAATATCATGCTTTAGGTTTAACTAATTTGCATATTGATTTAAAAAAGTTTATTTCATTAATTAACTGTTCTTTTATTTGTGGATTGTTTTGATTTTTATGTAAAAAATAATTCGGTTTAGGAGGAGTATCATCTTATATAGTGCAGAAAAGTGTTTGAAATTTGCATTTTACTTGGCCTTCAATAAATTGGCATCTATTTGTAAAATTTTCCTTAACTATAACAAGCCAATTTATGAAATAATGTTCATTTAAAATTTGTGTTCCGAAGATTTCAAGTAGTGAATATATCTTACTTTGCAAAGCAATAGCATGTGGGCAAAGCCTGTTAGTATATATGTATATAATATATATATTATATTATATATATATTATATAATTGTTGAAACTTGGATAAGCATGGAATAATAATAATACAACACAAAATGTACGTAAACAAAATGTATTGAAACAAGGAAAAGGTACACAATATTTACAGTTAGTTTTGGTATATTCTTGGGAAGACTGTTCCTGCATAATGGGTTGACTAAATCGCAGTCGGGCAGAGTCTCTGGATTGGATCTTCTTCTAACTACTATCTTACTCCCTGGTCTTCCGGTACCAACCCATATTTATATGGTCGGTACTCCACTTATGTAAATTAGGTGTATCGTACACAACAATAATATATATATATATATATATATTATATATATATATATATATATTAATTACAAACAATACGAATCTTCTCTAAGGCATATTATAAAGAAATATACTACTCCTAATGATCCGAATAAAAAAAATCAAACTTATTATCTATTATAAAAAATTTAAAACGGCCAACCTTATCCTCAAAAATAACAACACACCAACTAAGTCAAAATTACAAAGAACAAACATTATCTATGAGTTCAAATGCCCTTTAAGGAACTGCGTTCCTCACCAAACCGGACTCATAAATAATTACATCGGCTACACAACCAGACGTTTATCCAGACGTCTTACGTTACACCTATCTGATCACAGCTCCATCAGAACACATTTAAACACACACTCAGATTTACCCAACACTATTAGGAACATACTAGTAGAAAACACAAATATATTAACTGCATCCACTTGCAAAAAAAGACTAAAAATAATGGAAGCTCTAATAATAAAAAAGAAAAAGCCAACTCTTAACAATAT